CATTCTCTTACAGACGTGCCGTCGCTTCCCTCTGTTATTTTCTACAAATAACTGCTCCGACGGGCTACTTTCGCTGGTTCCCAAACTGCATGAATTTAAGCGTGCTACTAGGTTGGCATCTCAGTCCCACCCTTTCACTGTCGAAACGGTTAAATGTAGCCATCTCTTCTACTCTACTAGCTTCATGTCTCGCACTTCCCGTGTGTGCAACTCCCTTCCTCTTACTTGCTTCCCTGAGAGCTATAATCTTTAATTATTCAAATGCAATGTCAATCGATATCACCAAATGACTTGATCTATTCCTCGTCTTTCTCTTTATCCTTTTCTCTATCACGCCTCTTTACTCTTGCACCCACTTTCTGTAACCGCTTGTGTCTTAGTGGCACTCTCGTCTTGCTTAGGGTGAGATGCTTAAAAAGAAAAGAAAATTGCTGCGTAAGCGAAATACAAAAAACTGTCTTGATAATTACACCCCATAGACCAAGAAGAACTTTGTCCATGTAACGCTAGTGATGTTACGGGAGTTTAAAAAAAAGTTCCTGCCTGCCTTAGGCCTTCAAAGCCCGAATAGTGCTTTTGAACACACACACCCTCTACAGATTCTCGAAGCATCCATATCTGCTCTGTTTCGTCTCCTAAAATCTGTTAAAATCAAGAAAACTGAAGAAATTAAAAACGCTCTTAAATTTCAGAAAAATAAATGATTTGGATGTAGAAGACCCGCGAAACTTTCTAAATAAAAAAAGAGTTTTAACAGTGTTTCGCGCTGGTGTGGCTGGTCAACAAATTTGGGCTATGGTTGAGAAAGCAAACCATTTATTTGGAATGTTTCCGCCTATGGACTGCTTTGACAATGACATTGTTAAAAAATTACACCAATATTGTTCAGGGAGGCTTCCGCTTTTTGTTCACCCACTCCCTTTATAGAGCTTTGAAGTTAACCTTTCCCTTGGATATCGGTGGCCTGTCTCCCGATGGCACCATCAAGATTGAGATGGGAACAGGTTCTATGGGAGAGGCCATCGGTGTCCTCACCCCGACTATGTTTAATGCAGGACAGCAACCTTAATCGGTCTGATAAATGGCTCTCTAGTTAGCAAGTTTGAATGCCCGAGGCCTGAGGTCGGAGTCTCGAAGGGCGAGGCTCGATCGCGATGTTCAGCGCCTGGGGTGGATGTATGTTGTGTACAGGAGACCCATTTTTATCACGCGACCGTGGGGACATTCTGTGTAAGGGATTCGTTCTCTATTCAACATGTTTTGATGGACGCTCTAGGGGTATTTCTTGCCTGGTGAGCAAGTCTCTAGATGCGGCGTGTGTTCTTGTTTTCACGGATCCGGTGGGCAAGCTTTGCGTGCTGGATGTTACCATAAAGGATAAGGCTCTTCGTCGCATTGGGATGTATGCACCCAATGACAATGCGCATCGGTCTGATTTGTTTCGGCAGATCGCGCCGTTTTTGATGACATCTCTTTCGGTAATTCTAGCGGTTGATTGAAATTCCGTCCTTGATCCAGATATAGATCGTGTAGGGCAAAAATCGGGTACTAATAACCCAGATGTAAAGCCGTTTCGGAACTTTATCGACGGGTTCGATCTTGTCGATAAGTATCGGAATAAGCACCCCCGGGAGGTAGTATAGACTTGGACTAGGGGCGGTAGCTCGGATTCGGTGGTCAGCCCAAGCTACATCGACCGCGTTCTAGTTAAGAGAGTCGACGTAGGGCTTTTAGAATGTCCAAGTTTCCATTTTATAGTTTACTTTGATCATTGGCTTGTCTGGATTCGGGTAAACTTAGATAAGCCTAAGGTTAAGATGGCTGGTTACTGGAAATCGAACGCATCATTATTTGGCGAGCAAGATTTCCGGGATCAGCTTTTACTAATGCTACAGCGGAAATTGTGGGGGAATAAGTGGTGGGATTCTCTGAAATCTAAACTTAGGTCTTTTGCTGCTGATTTTAGTCGCCTACTCAATTTAGCCGGGTTAGCAGCGCAAAAGTCGTGAGAAAAAGTAGAACCGGCGATCAAATACCGTGATAGCGGCGGACGTAGCCTTAGCTAAGGCGGAGCTGGCCTTCTTGCTTATCAAGAAGGATCAAGCCCTAGTAGTTAGGGCTAGGCTAAAAAGAATGTCTTCCGAGGCTTCATTGCGTGCAGAGAAAGCTCATAGGGCATCTAGTCGGCATATCGCGAGCATCACATTGCCGGACAAGCGGACTGTGACTACAGACGTGGGCATTTGTGAGGCTTTTCGTGACTACTTTCAGGAGCTGTTTGCAATGGGGGCCCGGTCTGAGCCCAGCTCAGTTCGATGCCTATTTAGCCGACTTTCTCCGCCTCGGGGCGACTGAAGCGGCCAGGTGCGAGTGTCCCATTACAGAGTCTGACATCTGGGATGCGCTGAAGCAAGTTGGCATTGGCAAGACTCTGGGATTAGATGGTCTTCCTTACGAAATGAATTTGAGGCAGTCGCCCGTCTTTGTTCCCTTGCTGGCACTGATTTACAACAACTGGATGAAGCAGAGGTCTATACCTCAACGTTTCACCAAGAGTGTGATCAAGTTGCTTCCCAAGAACAAAAACGGTGGGGATAGGATGGATAATTATCGGCCTTTGATGATGTTAAACACAGAGTTGAAGATTTTAGCCAAGGTCTTAGCTGGCGGTTTTCAGGTAGTGAAGGGCAAGACTATTCAGGACAACCTTCATTTGGTACGCTTGAACATTGATCAAGTCGACAGTGATACCGCGTTGATCAATTTAGATCAGTCCAAGGCTTTCGATAGGGTTGACCATCGATTTCTGGAGGCTGTTCTTTCGGCTGGTTTCGGACCGGACTTTCGCATTTGGATCCGACTGCTGTATTCGTCCCCCGGTGCGCTGGTAGAAGTGAATGAGGAAAGATCAAAACCTTTCATTTTGTCTCGCTCCATTCGTCAAGATTATCCACTGTCTCCATTACTGTACGTTCTTGCGTTGGAACCTTTCCTGCGTAAGTGGAAGATGAATCCGGTCCTTCCCGGAATTTCCTAACCTGGTATTACCACCTCGGCCAGTACCCCGCCTATGCTGATGACGTTTCTGTTCTTGTGTCGAGCAGAGCCGAAATTAACGAACAGAGAAATCAAAGGCTATGAAATGGTGACAGGGGCCAAGATCAACCATGATAGGTCAGTTGGCTTGCAGGTTGGGTTCGTGGAAAGGAGTTTCTCTTCCCGGACCTTTCCTCTGGGCGGACGGGCCGGTCAAGATGCTCGGCGTCTGGCTCGATCCCGACCTCCTGTTGAAAATGAATTGGTCGGAGGTGCGGGAGAAGGCCGAGGTCGCAGTTCATCTGAGGTCCCGGAGGAATCTTTCCTTGAAGGGGAGGGCGGAAGTATGTGCCTCGCAACATCTGCCCGATTTTCTTTTACCGACTCTCTGTGCTACCACTCCCGTCTGACACTTTATTGGCGTTTGTAAGGCACTTGTTCTCCTTCTTGTGGGGAGGCAGGGCCGCCATGGTTAGTTGCGAGATCTGTTACCTCCATCCTTCTGATGGCGGTCCAGAGGTTCCTTGCGTTGAGATTCGTCGACATACGCTTCGCATTACCTATCTAGACCGGATGTGTATGCAATTGGATGAGAAAGACGGATTCTGGAAGGAAGACGCGCATAGAAAATTTCCATCATTAAGAAGTGTGCGCTCGAGCGAAGAAGAGGCCAGCCGTACATCTCGAGGAGCGGGCTCCTTCTATCGCGAATGTCGGCTTGCCCTCAAGCATCTCTTACGGGCGAAGGCTGTCCTCTCCGACGTCCAGCCGTTGTCCCGTATGGCATTATATCAGGTGTTAGTTAGGGGGAACGTTCAGGATGCTTTGATAGGCGAGTTCGATCTGACGAAGCCGGATGCTCGTTGCATATGACCTTGGGCGCCCGAGTTGAAATGTCTCACTAACCCTGAGGCATCACTCACCTTGCTGGTGATTTGAGGGGCACTCTGGGTCGCCAAAACACTTCGTTCGGTGGGTTTGGCAAAGTCGTCAAACTGCGTCCGCTGCAGTGGGGTGGTGGAGACCCTAAGCCACGCCTTTTTTCATTGTAGTGTCGTAGCTCCGTTGTGCAAGTTTGTTGAGGGCATCATGGTTCGCATGCTGCGCGGAAAGTTCTTTGAAATCGAGGCCAGTTCCATTTGTAGCAATATAGTGCTGACGTTGACTAAGGCTGAGCACTGTGTGTTCCTTTGCTTACTGGGGGTCATGCGAGTCGTGATATGGACGACGCAACAGAAGGAATTCAATGGGGCCGAGAAGTTTACCTCTTCCCAACTGATCCTGTTCTTTAAGCATCAGCTTAAAGTCAAGATCAGGATGGAAAGGAAACGACTCCATCCATTGGAAGTTGGCGAAAGGTGGGCGAGTCTTGCGCGTCTCTGCTGAGTGAAAGGTGCTGACTTAGAATGGCATTTTGATGTCGGTTAGATATTAAGAATATTGGGATTGCTGGGTTGAACAATGGCAACCCTTCCTGTGTATAGTTTAATGTAGGTCGTTTTTTTTTTTTTTTTTCTTTTTTTTCAAGTTAACTTAGCTAGGGTATGTATGGTCAGTTTTTTATTTCTTTAAAATTTTTTGAAATTTTGGGTTTAAAAAAAGAACATTCGGACTTTTTTATATAATTGATCAGTTCTCTAGTTAGAAAAAAACACATTATCAGATGGTTTGAGAAATTTTATAAAATTTTAAATAAAATGAGTGTGTGTTTGGATGTTTTCAATGAAATTTGGATGTTTTATATTTTTGCCTAAATACTAAATATATATATATATATATATATATATATATATATATATATATATATATATGGTGGTGGTGGGATTTGAGAGAGAGAGAATAAGGATAAATTTTTAGGAGGTTTTTTTTATATATTTTATAAAGATTTACAATTTGTATATTATTGGGAATTCGATTTAGAATAAACAATTTTATTCGAAATGTCCACAGAAATTTACAATATAATGGTTAGATTTTATTTATAATACAAGGCATTACGTATTGAGATAGACATTAAAAGAATTTGGGATTGGTGAATAATATTACCATATAATTGGGTCAGTGTTCAATAAGCTAGCTAAGTTTAAATGTATTCGAGAGAAAACAAATAATTATTTTTCTTGTCGTAAGTATTAGGCATTGTATTAATTTATGCATTATTCAAAATACTGCTTCTTCGTATTTTGCGTTCATATGGGGATATCACGGACCATAATTCTATTCATTATTTTATCGTCTCCATTTTATTTATAGTGACTAAAACAGAAATAAAAATTGATGAATGTTGTTTGAAATGAAGGATGCTTATATCAGAGAGAAAATTTTTGAATTGTTGACAGAGGGGTTTTTACCGCATCAGATAAGGCTATTTTTACTATATCTATGAATATATTCTTGTTATACCATTTTCTATTATTTGTGTGCGTCTGTTAATCAAATTTCAATAATATATTAAAAAAAAAAAGATAAAATATAATAATTGACATTATAAAAATAAAAAAAGTCTTCGTAGGAAAATAGGAAGTTATCTTTCTGAAGAGTTACAGAATTATCGGAGCGTACTTGGGTAGCTCTACATCGTGAAAGGAAGGAGAGAAAGAAAAAATCTTAACATTTCAGGGAGAGAAGATTAGAGAGAATCTATAATGATTTAAATGGAAAGCATAAATGCCTGCGTACGGATTGAATTTTTTAAAAGTTAAAAATATCTATCTATCTATCTATCTATCTATCTATCTATCTATCTCAGTGTATTCGTATCTATCTATCTATCTATCTATCTCAATCTGTTCGTATCTATCTATCTATCTATTTGACTCTGGGCGTTGAATAGGAAACAAAACAAAAATGATTATTTGCTCAAATATCTGTCTTTTAAGTCGGTTTTATTTTTTTTACTTACTTTGGTGCGATTTTCGTTTATTCGTACAAAGTAGATATCTATCTATCTATCTATCTATCAATCTTACGGTTTATCTAAAAATAAATTTTCATTATTATCAATCTATCTATTTATCTATCTATCTATCTATCTATCCAGAAATCATGGGTAGCTACGTATTTAAAGTTTTTGATATAATCCAAAGAAAAATCTGCAAAATTCTTCCCGTCATAAAACCATCTTGAATAGTCACCTTCAAACGACCGATTAAGGTTTTTCATGTTGAATTTCTCTCAATATTTACATGTTAATTGTTTTGATGAACTTTCCTCCATGGTACCTAGGTTTTATCCATTTAAGCGTACTACTAGTTGGGAGGCAAGATCTCATCATTTTACACTTGAAATGGTACACATATGATTTCAGTTTTTGTTGAGGTTTATTTTTAAACATTTCTTTTCTCAACTTCTCCTGTTTAGAAGATTCTTCCTTCTTAATTTGCTATCCAGTCAAAAATGAATCTTCAGAAATTTAAATCCAATGTCCATTGTTATATTCTCTCTTTTTTAATTCATGTTCTTTTGTTGTTCTCAAAGTTAAAACTTTTATATAATATTCCTTCATAAAAATAATTTTTATTTTTTTAGTATATTTATTGCCAATTTTTGGGTGAAATGATTAAAAAAACATGTTTCTAAAGCAAATCCTATCTATTTATTCTATCTATCTATCTATATCTTTCTATCTATCTATCTATCTCACCAATCGATTTATTTAATGAATCGAAATCTATCTATCTTCTACTATCTAGTTATCAAAGTCTGTTATTATCATTAAAAACATTTATCTATCTTTCTATCTATGGTATCTATCTAAATATCTATCTATCCCATTCATTACAAATATCATCTGCAAAAATCCATTCTTCTAATAAATCTATCTATCTATCTATTATTTTCGTAGACATGAAATTTCATCTATCTATCTATCTATCTATCTATCTATCTATCTATCTATCTTTTATGATCTCTGCGTGGGTGTATTTCTGATAATCGAAAAGGGACTATATATTTTCCTCCATTTATAAATTAAAACCTAAAATAAGCTTCGTTCAAACAATAAATCCTACAGATGCTATTGAATATGAAGGAAAGCGAACATGAGGACTAAGCACGTATATTTTTGTGGTATTCCGACTATATCTCGAGATTCACGACAAAACCCCAAAACATGCAAAATCTTATCGAAACCTTTTGTAATCTGGACTTTTTTTGAATTGTTTAGGAAAATTAAAAAAAGACATTTTTGTATACATATTTTCCGGTATGGGCAAGGAGTTTGTCCTTGATACCTTAACTGAATTTAAACAGACTACTAGATTGGCAGTTAGGTCTCATTGTTTTACTGTTAAAAATTAGATTTCGAATATGTCCTATTCAAAATAGTTTCTTTTATAACTTTTTACCATTCGTTCGTGCATGACCGCCAACATCTTGCTGCCATATCTTGTCTTAAAACATATTATATATTTTCCATATCTTGACAAAATCAAAAGAAGGATCTGTAAGTCATCGATCCTGAATAGCATCTCGATTTTCAGTTTTTTTTACCGACGGTAACGTGGAAAACAAAAATTCTAAAAAATTTTTCATGGCGACTGATTCTACGACTGATTTTTTTTTTTTACTGCGTGGACTGCATGAATTTAAATGTCCAACTAGTTTGACTGTTTGGATCTTATCGTAAAACAAAACTAGCTGGATCAGTCTCATGTTCTATTCTAATAGTTTTTTTTCTATATTCAAGTCTGAGGATCTCTTTTCCAATTCCTTGCTTCCCTGCCACATACAATTTTCAAAAAATTTAAATGCAACATCTATTTTTATCTTCTGTCTTTTTAAATATGTTTCTTTTATTAAAATTTCTCTTCACTAATTTCTCAAATTCTCTTCCACCTGAAGATATAAAACCATTGTATCTCAGTGGCATTATTCCTTGTTGTTGGAATAAAATTCTTAAAATATATAAATATATATATATAGTTTTTTTGATCATTTTTTTATTCAAAATTTGTTTGAATCAGGTCCTAATATTTTAGAGACCGATGACTACGTAATATATATTTAAACAGAGGGTTGAATCCTTAAAAAATTTCTTTTAATATTTTTCTGGAATAAAGATTCAAATATCCATCGTCGGTAGATGTAAATTAAATAATTATAATGTTTAATAATAAAAAAGAAAATATCCATCAAATATGGTATCTTAAAAAATAAATTTATAAAACGTATATATATATATATATATATATATATATATATATATATATATATATATATATATATTTATATAATATATATTATATATATATACTTATATATATATATATATATATATATATATATATATATTTGGTTGGATAAATGTGAGTTTGTGACCCTGGGTTATAATGTTTAGCGATCGTCAGACAAACTCTTGTATGACGATTTATAAATATATGAAATTTCCTGGTTTTTTTGGTTTAATATCCAAATATATTTATATATATATATATATATATATATATATATATAATATATATATAAATATACTGTTTCATGTTTTTAAATAGCCTTATCAGATCGATTGAAACTATGGATGTCATTGATGGCGCAAAACCACTTTCAGAATTCTATGAACAATGGTCTAACGCCAAAAAATTAACATGTTTCGTTTTTATTTAAGCTAGATATAAATCAGGATTATTCATTGTATATTTAATTTTGAAAATCGAATCATTTCTTTTTTCATAAACGTGAAAAATTTGATTTGTTCCAATTTATCCTATCATTTATTAGATTCCTTTTATATCTGTAATGATCTTGATTGATTATATATATATATATATATATATATGAAAAAAAAAATTTTTTTTAAATATTTATGACAGATTTAATTTAGTTAGGAATATCCGAACAGTGACGTTCCATATCACGTGACGTCCGCGTCTCGCGAAGGACGCTACTTGCTAACAAACAGTAATTTTAATTTATTTGTAACAAACAGTTATTTCTGATGAAAAATTGAGGACAATTTGAAATATCAAATATATATATAAATAAATAAATACTTTCATAAAATAAAACATTATAATTTTTTAATTTGAAACTTTTTATATATATATATATATTAAGAAAGTATACGTGGCTTCTCATTATGCTATATATATATATATATATATATATATATATATATATAACTGTTATGGGTGTGATTTTTTCTTTTATAATAATGAAAATGGAATACCTCGTTTATAAGTTTATTATGGAGTGGTTTCACAGTGGAGGCTTGTATTTGTACTAAGTCGGTCCTAAAATAGGTTCGAAGTACAAAACGTTAGGAACTTGATATAATAGGTAATAACGCAGAGTAATCTAGTTGTGGTCGCTGATACTTTTAGTATCCGACTAACGGTCGTCCGGCATCGACTGACTGACCGAAACTGATGTTTCCTCGTTACTCTTACTACTCCTACTTATTATAGGTGGAAAGAGTCTATTAACTATAGAATAGGTGTGTTCCACTATTTTAATAACAAATTGGAGATTTAAAAAAAGCCATGAACAAATATTTTATTTAAAAAATCGAGAATTCGATTTTTAATAGAAAAGGAGGAAACCTGGCGGTTTCAAAACAATGAATGGATTCTTCCAGGAATCAAACGAAAAACAAAATTAACAGAAGTTGTTTTTTAAGATCATTCAATGTGTAGGAAGGAAGGAGATGTATATGTATTTAAGGAGATGCGATAGTAGTGGTTGAAACCTCTTATTCACCGGACAAGGGAAGGGGTGGAAAATTTTTCAAGAAGGAACAAATGGTTGCAAAAAAGAAAGGAAATGGGGGAAGGAAGGAAGAACTTTAGAAAACACATAAAATCAATCATATCAACATACTTTCGGCTTTTTTACATTCTTTTACGTTGGAAAAGATAACTAAAAATTATATTTATCTAATATATATATATATATTATTCTTAATTGATAAGTAATTTTTTCTTATAACATGTAAAACATCCTCAATTTACATTTTTAAAATGATAATTGTAATGGTGGAACTTAAGAGTATTTTTCCATCAAGTGAATAGGTTCATAGGTTTGCGTAATCTATGCAAACCCAGAAGAGAATACAACATATATTTTTGAATACACAAAATTCAACGTAATTACAAAGACGAGGGCACATCTTTTTGCATATATAAAAAATATTCCCGGACAGATAAAATTTAAAAGAATAAACAATAGTATGTTTATAATATGATTTACATGAAACAATTTAATATGTGAGCGTTAGATTCACAGGTAAGAAATGTTTAAAAAATAAAAATGAATGATCACATGTTATGAAGAAAATTGGACAAAGTGGAAATGACTATGTGATTTATCAAGATTAGTATTTATGTATACAAAATTTAAAACCTCTCCATCTGTCACTCTGCCAAGAACTCTCTCTCTCTATCTCTCTCTCTCTCTATATATCTCTATATATATATATATATATATATATATATATATATATATATTCTTAAACATGCATATACACATATACCTATAGATATACATATACATATGCAAAAACATATAAAACATCCCAAAACTCATTTTTTATTAATTTTTTTAAAACAGAAACATTATTTTATGAAATTTTATTTTTTAGATTCTTGTCTCACACACACACATACACATACACACAAATATCATATATATATATTGTGTGTGTGTTTCATTTTTTAATAAAGAAAAATATCAATAAAAATAATTTGGACAAATTAAAAAGAAAATATATGGAAAAAACAAATATCCAAATATGCAAGTATGCTGTTTTAATGTTGTTTCAATGTCGACGTCAAACGTTTCGGTCTAGTAGACCTTCTTCAGGACATAGTTTTAAAACATAATTAAAATTAGACGATATTCAAGTCAACATAAAAGACGATAGACATAAGAATAAAATCAAAACAGAATACTAAAAATAACATTAAAACAGCATATTTGCATATTCGGATAGGAATTTTTTCCATATTTTTTCTAACATATATATATATATATATATATATATAAAATATATAATATATATTTATAATTAAATAGATTTTAGAGAACCAATCTACCGAAGTTTCACCTACCGGATCATCAGGATGATTCTGATTAATGAGGTGAAGTTTAAACGTTTTTTATTGATAAAAAATGGTATCAAAAAAGAATAAAAAAATTAGGATGAAGAAAATAAATGTTTAGACATTCTAATTTGCCATGGCTTAATGCATATTAGATATTTTTATTGAGAATTTTTAATATTTCAGACCTTTGGTTGATTAATTCATTAGGGTTAATTGTTATTTGAATTTATAGCTAATTTTTTTGTAAAATACACACAAAGATCGCGTCAGCGTGAAACTAGGGTTACGACTAGGGTCATCTAGGGATTTAACGATGTTAAGTGTTTTTACTTTGTCTAGGCAATCTAGTCTTTGAGTACTGAGTAAGGAAGTTTGCTTTCAGGCAAATTACAGCCGATGACTTCCAACTTGAAGGTTCGCTTTGGGCACAGAAATGCAGTGGTTGATACAATTGGTTTGTGTGTGTATGTGTGTGTTGGTTTGTGTGTGTGTGTGTGTGTTTTGTTCACTCTGCCATTAAAAATATTGATTTTCAGTTTTTTAAACCCCTTGTCCAGCAATGCAGTTTCTTCAAAAACTGGTTGTTACATTTATATTTTCAATCTCAGTTCAAGAAACTGTCTATTACCTCCTTTCATCGAGTCCGTTAAGAGTAAAAATATTCAGAAGCAGTAAAAAACTTTTGCTGTTTCGTCGCTACAGAATTTAATTTGATAAAAAACTTATCAAATAAAACACTTCAAATTCCCCAACAATACTACAATTCGATAAAGAGAGACATCACTTAAATTATCGGAATATTCAAACTTAACGTTTCTTTAATTGCTTATTTAAAATTACTTAATTATATATTCTGTTTATCATTTCAATTTAAATATCATTGACTACGAG